TTGAAGTTTAAATGCCTAAGAAGTATTTTAGTAGAGAACGAAAAATGGGATACTGAAATCTGAAGGTGCATTGGAATAGGGAAAGATGCCTTCCAAAAGTTAAGCAAAGTATTAAGAAACAGGAATGTTTTGTTAGAAATAATAAAAAAAAACAATGCTGACTTGTAAGAGAGAACGGAAAATGTGATATCGAAATCCGAAGGGGCATTGAAATAGAGAAAAATGCCTTCCAAAAGCTAAGCAAAGTATGAAGAAACAGGAATGTTTTGTTAGCAATAAAGAAAACAATGCTGAAATGCTATGTAATATCAATCCTTCCTACATGGGAGCGAATGTTGAACAATCATCTCGCAGAGGAAAGGTAGGCTTGAAGCAACAAAATTGTGGTTCTACAGAAGGATACTGAGAATTCGATGGACTGAAAGTCTGAGAAACTAGGAAGTTTTAAAGAAAATCGAAACAAAAAACACATTTTTATTTCGAATGTTAGAGACTGTTTACATTTCAGAGGCGTAAAATAAGGAAAGAGGGCTTGGAGAATTTGACACTTACAAGGAATATTGTAAGCAAAAGGACAGAGGCAAACGGAGAGTAACTTAACTAAGAAATGGATGGCAGAGCGGGAAAAAGAAGAGATGGTAAAGAGTCAAATATTGGATAGATGCTAGAGACAGGAAGTTGTGGATGGCCACGTCTTGAGGGGACAAGGTACATGAAATTTTATAAATGTGACTGATTATCTTCTTGACAAAATATAGCGTTTTGTTAAATTTGAACCTTTTTTTACAAAAATGTTACATCACTTTCGGAACAACCTAATTGTATACAACGATGTATACAAGCAGTTGTCCATATACACACCTTTACCTTGAAGAATATGGGTGTGATAGGCGTGGGGTAGCGTCAGCAAGGCGGTCATCTCGTCATGGTCAGCAGGGTGGATATATTCGTAAATGCTGTTACCCGTCAATTCCACCTGGAAATATTCGAATCAAATAAACATTATTTCATGTCATTTCCAACACACAAGTCGATCTTAAAGTCCAAATAAGATTTGAATAAGATACTGGATCCGACGACAAAATAGAGGCAATGCTATGAGGTTAAAATCCATGTACCAGCAACTCTGATAGTTTATAAGTCAATGTTTCTCAACCTTTTTAAGCAACGGCACACCTAAAAGCAAATGAAAATAACACGTCACACATAGGAAAAAATATAGGATACAGGTTCGATTCCTGTCGGAGGACGCATATTTTCTATGGAAATTTCTCGGACATTCAGACCGGTAAATGTTGTTAATTCTGTTTATTATGAACAGAGCATTTACTTAAATATTTGTATCTATAAAAGAACGTATATATATATATATATATATATATATATATATATATCCAGGATAATTTCCAACTTATTCAAGAGGACCTTCTCTCTAACCTTCTTTCTTTATGTCCATTTCATAATACATACACACACACACACACATATATATATATATATATATATATATATATATATATATATATATATATATATATATATATATATGAAAGTGGACAATTTTCAGACCATACGCCACTTGGTGTTGACCTCCGTGTCCACCTTTATATTTACGTCTACTGTATCTTTTGATACTAAGGTGTTTTACCCATAAACATAGGATAATTTAGAAACCAAAAGGTTGTAGAATGTAAGTTAAATCAGGTTTTTTCGATGTTTGGGCCTTTAATTCGGTGAAAGACGTCTTTTATTTAGAATTGCAATTAGAAGTTGGATTATCGAATCAGAGTATAAGTTTTTGAAATCTCGGTCTGTTAAAATCTATCTATGTATCTAGCTAGCTAGCTAGATAGCTAGATAGATAGATAGATAGATAGCTGTCTCATTCTGTTATCTATCTATCTATCTATCTATCTATCTATCTATCTATCTATCACAGTCTGTTAAAATCAATGTATCTTAGTTTGTTCAAATCTATCTATTTATCTATCTCGGTCTGTTCAAATATATCTGAGTCTTCACATCTATCTATCTATCTATCTATCTATCTATCTATCTATATATATATCCAAATGCTCTCCTCGTATGAAAACGTGTTTTTATTCACTCTTTCTTTAATGTTTATACTTACATTAAATTCATAAATATCTGAATGAAAGCCAAACTAAAAGTCTCATAATTAAAGGAATAAATCAAAAATGATTCGACACGAAATGTTTTCCTTTTCTTCTTCTTTTTTTTGTAGTTTATTAATGGAAATGGGTGTTTTCAATGGAACGTGCTTTAATTTGATAATTTCGACCCAGTCGGTACCTTCTGCCCATGATCCCCTACATTGCGACCAGGTGTCTCAAGTGGAAGCCCCTAAAACCCGGGACTAACTAAATTTATGAGGATTGCGATTTGAGTGCAAGGGATTCTGTATGAACGTGGTGACCAGGACATTGTATTTCGTCATTACCCCACCCCCGCGTCCCTTCGGTCTTTGTGATTTTGTTTT